GCTCTTACATTTACAACTGTCTTAAGAAGCGAGAAGAAGCAGAACCTGTATAAATGTAGTTTAACTATAGATATATTTTAGTCTACCATCGCTATTTGTCGTGACCTGTACTTAGTTCGCAATTGAGCAAAAATGTGCAATAAAGGTCTTTCATTCACTAATTGTGGACAATTGGGCTGGATTCCACAAGAAAGTAGCCTATGATAAAACAGAAATCTAAGCGATATTTTACAATATTTTCTGCTTTTTTGTGCTACCTTTGACCTAAATTTCTGTTTGTGTCTCCAAAGTCTTGGCGATCTTCCTATCGGTCTGCGGTTACACCATTCCCCCCTCACGTCTTGTGACTCTAATTGCCCAGATGGTCATCAAAACGTCGACTCTTGTTAACACAAGTGGTTGTATATAAACCATGTATCACTAGTTCTATTTGCTCGAACATCTATAACTGCGTCAAGAAGCAAGAAAAAGTCGAACAATGTAAATAGTAGATCACATTAGTATATATTGTTTAAGTATCATTACTTTATCATTTTCCTTGTCTATACATGACCTGTACTTAGCTTGTTAGAGCACAAACGTACAATAAAGGTCTTTCATTCATTCATTCATTCATTCATTCATTCATTTATTCATTCATTCATTCATTCATTCATTCATTCATTCATTCATTCATTCATTCATTCATTCATTCATTCATTCATTCATTCATTCATTCATTCATATTTACAATCCAGAAATTGGATACTTACTACAGATTTTAGTACTCGGCAAAACTCGGCGTCCACTTCAAACTGTGAATTCCACCTGGACGCTTCCACGGTAAGGTTGGATCCCCCTTTCTTCAATTTAGCACAGTACATGTTGACGCGGCTGTTAACTTCCTTAAAATGTTGCACTTCTTCAAAGAAGTCTGGGCCCTGTGTGGTTGATGAATAAATGAAAAGCATCGTTAATTGTTAGACAAGCTAAGTTACATTATACAACGATAAACGCACAAAGCTGTTCAACCTTCTCTCCGCTTGCTCAACAGAATTTGTTACATTTCATGCTATAGATAAATTTAATTTCACCCTAGAAGGTATGTGTACAAATAGGTACAAATGTGTACAACTAGGTAAATATATCAAAGAATGTTTAGACCTTAGAACAAGTAGTATTAGTTGACTCATCTATTGTTTTGTATGTAGGTTAATTTCGTTGTACCCATGTATCTGTCTGTATGTCTATTTGCAGTCTTAGACCTTACGAAAGTCGCTGTACTTTTTGTTGTGTCAATAAAGTTCTCTCTATGAATGTTTGTATTATTACAAAGGAAACAAAAGGTACAAATAAAACATTTTCGTATTACAGGAAACTAAAGGTGAATGTCCGTTGTTTTTATCAGAAACCCGATCTCATACCTTCGCCAAATGATGTTACTCTTTATGACTGACAATTTGTAGACTATTCCCCCTGATTGTGCGAATAGACCCTCATTTTCATGAATTATATCAATTTATCATATTCTCTGGAAAGACAGGGGGTCTAAAATCTAATCATTACTAGGTCTCATCAAGACCTACCCACCTGCCAAGTATCAAGACAATCCATTTAAGCCTTCATATACACGAACGCCTTTGAAAACATAACCTTCTTGGCGAAGGTAATAACGCACGACTGGCTCTTACCTGTGCTGCGATCTTCCTCCACAAGGACTTGTTGAACGTGTCGTGCAGTAGATAGTCCACGGCTTTCCAGCGTCGTAGCATCGCAGTCTCCTTTTCAGATGGGACGTAGTCCTTGAACGAGTAACTTCGGTTGTTCTTCGTGATGTAAAGGACGTCTTGCAGTTCCCAACACATCAGACGTTTGAGGAGAACGTAAGACTCGTCCACGTAGTCCATCAGCATGACGAGGGTGAAGTCGGCTTCTAGTTCATTGACGTATCTGCGAGCTCGCTCCTTGAATATAAAAAAATGACATTAGGAAACAAACCTTGAGTTGGAAGCATTCAGTTGTTACCTCCGAATACGGAGGTTTTGCATAAAGATTTTTCTTTTGGTATGTGTGCTCGTATACGTGTGAAATGGGTTGAAATGGATAAGTTTGGGTTCTATCTGTCCCGGAGCACAAAAGGCAATGATCACTTCTACATTTTAGAGGTCTCATGCTCATTTTCATCGTCGCCTTTGTGTCATTCTTGCGATGCCAGCATTTCGACCAACCCCCCCCCCCCAAAAAAAGTCA